CTTAAGACACCATTTGTTAGCCCTACTTATGAATTACCACATTTTAAGTGTTATTTTTATAATGATATCAGCAGTTTTATGTAAATTTTCCATTAATTTAAATTCATACGGATTAATAAATTACCTTCCGAAATTTCTAGAAAGTTTCAAACTTCAGTTTGTTTAATTCACCAAGTAAGAATTCACTTCAGTTTCATAACCTCTTCTTAAAGGATATATATTATCCCTTTCTGTCGTAATATGAGTAAAATATTATTCCATTCAGTAAAAGATTCGACTCATTTGCCTTGGTCAACATAGATCTGAACTTAAGCTTGAAAGTAACTCATGTTTATGGCTACAGATCATCCTACATTAATGGATTAATATTCAACTTATATGTTATTAATTTCATCCAATTGTATAATTAATACTTCTACTTCATCAAGTATTAAAGATAAAGTTTAAAAAGTATATCATTAATAAATATTTGACCGAAGGTGTGAAGAACTAGATATGTGATCCTTTAAATAATAATCAAAAAGGGCTTAAATATATTGTTTTGAGTATAACTCTTAATATATTGGAATATATTAAAAGTTATTCTTTCGATATATTAACCTAAAAAGAGAAATATTTTTCTGTCTCGATTGATAATAAAGAGATTTCAGTTTTATTTTTATGAGTCAATTCCAAAAAAGGAATTAATATAAAAAATATTATAATATCAGTTGAAAAGTTGTACTTCTTATAAAAATAATTTACACTAAATTTTCTATTTCTATTTTACAATTATAAAAACTACCACAATTATTAAATTTATTGGAATTAAGATTTTATTCTTCGCTGCAAAAATTGATGAAAACACCACTACTTTGAATAAAAAAGTTTCTTTAACATAAATTTATTTAAGAAAATCTCTAATAATTTTTGTCCCTTTTTAATTTAAATTTTAAAATGTAATACATTTGTTCTTCTTAATTAATTAAATTATAAACCTTTTAATTCAAGAATTTTAAAAGGAAGTATCTCTATTTATAAAGTTTCAAAATGTCCAGTTACATTTCATTATATTTTAGAATTTAACTCTATTTAGCATAAAACTGAGCGTAATTATATTAATGAATATTCTAAAGTAACATAACCAAAGAATTTGTTATTAATTAATTTTTAGAAATTAAAAAAAATTTATGTTCTAAATACATCATAAGAATGCTATCTTTCTTATACTAGTTTTTATGCGATAAAGTATGTTGTGATAGCAAGCAAAAAAAGATTGTTTTTAATTAAATTTCTGTCTAAGCGCTGTTTTGAAAAGTTTTAGAAAAAAAATATCAAATATAAAATTATTGTGAATAATCAAATAAATACAAAAAAATAAGATAGAGAAAAAATTAATTATATAAGAATTGAAAATTCATTTTACTAATTAAAGACTTTTAGTGTATGATAAAACATTACAATTGAAAATGCTAGTGCCAACTCACTCAATTTTCATTTATAATTAATAGAATCTCTAATTGAAGCAGTTTATCGACGATAAAATTAACTCACTTCCTTTTTATTAGTTCATAATAAATTTTGTTTGCTGAAAACAATTCTCATTGAAATAAGCGAACTAATTAATAAAATTATTTATCGATTAATTTCATACTTTCAATACTTTTTACAATACCTTTCAAATGTATTTGCATAAAATAATATAGCAATTTTTACAGCGAAATTGGCTTATAATTATATACACATTGATAATATTTTTAGCTAGCCTTAATTCTTGATCTGGAGTAAAATTAGTATCTAATATTTTCCAGGTTAGTATTTGTATAGAAATAACAATTTTAAATACTGATTATTAAATTCAAAAATCCAGGTTTTTTGAATTCTTAAATATTAATGTATTAAATAAAATCAGATTCATTAAAGTTTAATTATCCTTTGAAATAAATTAACTTTAGTATTACACTTTTGCAGTTTTGGGATTCATGTTGTAAATTTTTTTGTATTATTTTTTAATATACTATATTCAGATTAGTATTATAAGAATTGTAATAACTGCTGTTTAAATGATGTATGAATTTTGAAAAGTCTTTGATTTAGACAAAAAATAATCTTGTTAACTTTAATAAACATACCTTTTGAGTATACAGGCAATTAAGTCTAATAATCATATCGTCATGGATACACTATTTAATTTTTATTTGCATCATGTTTTTGATAATATTAAAGAAATGCTTGAAATTTCGATTAAGTTACAAAATAAGAAATGCAGCCAGATTTGGATTATAAAAAAGATTAATTAGATTTTTCTAATTTGATTACTATTTGTTTATCTTTAAAATTCTTGTTATAACAATACATACTAATAGGGGATGAATTGTCAAATTGAGCTGAGGTATTAATGAATATGGTTTTTCATTTTTTTTAAATTGAATCATTCAATTTTTAGATAAAATACTTTTTATTATTTTAGCCATTACAATTAATTTTAACTTATGGGGTTATGTTAATCTAGAGCTTTATTATTATAGTCTTTCTTCTAAATATACTCATTTGCTTTTAGCTTAGCCAGAAATTTATTTTGTAATAAAATATGTAAACTATTTTAAGAGATTTAACAATCAGAATTGCCCAGTTAATTGTGAATCATCAATAATAAGTATTATACTTATTAAAATTTAATATCTCTGGCCTATTCTATTTTAAGGTCTGATTATCCTTACTTTCAAAATTATTAATTAAAACAAAATCACTACAATCATTTTTGGTATATTATTAGAAACAATTATTTAATTTTCAAATGAGATGACCAATCTCTCTTATTTAAAATACAAATTATATTACTCTTATAAAAAATTATTAAGATATTTCTAAATGCAAACTTTCTTATTCATATTTTATACATTATCACATATAAGAATAGTTAAAATGGTATTTTTAATAATTCATATATCAATAAATTTGAAATTTTCTAATATAAGGCACAGGTTCATTTTTGGCAGCATTGTTTATATTTATTTAAAGAATAATTTTATAAGTGTAAATTATTCTAGATACTGTAATAGAACTATTTAAGTAAAATACTAAGTAAAAAGATTATGGATAGCTTACATGAAAGAAATATTAAATTTTTTTTCAAATTTTATTTAGGTTGAGAACAGTAACAATAACAATATAATTCAAATTAGTAGAGATTTTTATTGATATCAAAGATCTAAAATCACTTTATTTTTAATTCTTACATTTATTAAGATATCAAACTACTTATTGATTGTGATGCTCGAATCTCTTAAAATAAATATGAGGATTATATATTTTTCTTATAGACAAATATATGCTTTTTTTTGACTAAAGATTTTTAAATTATTTAAATATATTATATTTTTTAATTAAAATTATGATGGATTATAGATTGGATATTTTATTTTGATAATATTTTAGTTTATTAACAGGATTATTTAAGTCAAAATTCCTTATAAATAATATTAGGCCTTACTTCATAGAAATAAACTAATTATTCTTTTATCTTTTTCTGTTTTAAAAATTATTAATCTACAAAAAATAAAATGAGAACCAAATTTTAATTTACTTTAATATTAATAATAATTTTTATTTATTTGTATTTTTAGTTCATGGCCAACTTTCCTTTTAACTTTGTCCTTTTGGAAAATTTCAACTTTCAAATTGAAAATTCAAGTGTTATTTTAACAGAATAACTTGTGAAATGCTGATTAGAATATTTTGAGAGATACAGTCATTAAACTTTTAAAGCCTTTTTAAAATAATTAGGCTTAATGATTTCTTCAAATTGAAAATAGTTTCTAAAATATGAAAAATTAATTCTGAACACTTCATGAATAATCTCTTGTTTACTAATTTCATCAAGTAAACCTCAATTATATAATTTAATTTATTAATATTAGCAATATAAAAAAATAAATTTTAAGCTATTAAATAGATAACTATAGGGTTTTCTTTTTTTGAAAGTAAAATATTAAAAAAAATAATTAATTTCTCAATCATACTATCACTTATTAAAACAAATTATTCATATAATTGAGAAATTGGCAATGACTTTTAAAACTATTATTCAAGGATTATGAAATAGTATTTCATTTAATATTTAATTGAGCAGATGATCTATTTATAATTTCTTCTTTACTTCATTGAAAAATAAGAATATTGAACATCAAATAAATAATACTGTATCAATAAAATTATGTTTAAATAAACTCACTTAATAAATATTAATATTTTATGTATGTTTATGTAGAGGCAGATGAAAAGATTAAAGGATAGGTATAACAGAAGTGTTAATAAACAACAGGAAAATTGTATTTAATTAATTAACAAAATGCTTTCAAAATACCATAATAAAATGCTAATTCTAGAACATAATTGTTAGACGAACTTTTAAAAAATTGATAAACTCAAAAAAGAAAAAAAAATGTTGAACTATTTAAGTACTAGAATTAGTATTGTTTTGGACAGACACTTGGCTAAATTAAAGATGAACAACTCCCAAATAAAATATGTTGGACTTCCTTTTCTAAACTTTATTTAAAGGCTTATTAATTGATAAGTATCATCATGTTTTACAAAGAAATATTTAAAAATATTAGTTTAATGAAAACTATCATATAAATTGCATTTATTCTTATCTTTCTTCAATAATTAAAGTAAAAAGGAGTTATTATTGATGATAGATTCTAGGAAATCAAAGGTTTCAGGAGGAATAATAATGCAGTTATTAAAAAATATGCTAAGGCTCTTTATTGAGATCTATTAATAATGAAAATATCATAAAATTCCAACCTATGATTCATGAAAAATTTTAATTATTGATTTGTATTTGGAAACATCACTTTATAATAAATTGAATAAATACTCATTACGTTACCTATCTCATGGTGAATTATGTTATTTTTAATTTGATATTCTATAGGTCTAAAATAGATGAATCAAAATCAAATAATATTAAAGCAATCATTAATTATTATTAAAAATGATATAAATATATTGTATCATTTAAATAATTAATTTAATATCTCTATTTTACATTTGTTATATAAATGTACACATGGATATAAATCTTTGGATGTATCAATAGTCAGAGTCTAATAATAATAATTTGATATTAATACAAATGATTGATTTGTGGATTATTTTGTCCATTTTATGTATTTCTTTTATATATCCACTTCAACTATTATTATATCATTTGTTGAAAATTCAAATGCTATCTATTTATTATTTTTATCTTATTAATCATGATTATAACAATGACCAGAAGAATATATATTATATGTTCTATTTATAAACTATTAATATCATAATACATACCCTCCTCCAATAGAATAACAATTGTAATAACCCTTACTCTACATAATATCTCTAAAACCAATTCCAATCATAATATAAGTAATTTCAATAATTTTAAAAGCAAATAAAATGATACCATTCTTAGGAATCATTTAATCACACATACAACAATACCAAGAACCAGAATTATTGTCAATAACTTTTCCATTTTAAGTTACTTAACAATTATTATGTTTATAAGTTGTTGAGAATGTCAATTATTAAGAGAATTACTATTCCTACTTCAAATTTAAATTTACTTATACCAAAGTTTGTTATAATTATTTAACTATTTCTTCATTCTTTTCATTTGACTTTTAAAATCTTTCCAACTATCCTTGTTTTTCTTTAAGATTAACTAAAAATTCACTTTCTATTTAATACAATTTCATTTTTACTTTATTATTCAAGTTCTTTTACTTTTATTCTTAATA